TGGCTCTCTTCTTGTCATTAATATATTTGTAAAAACATTTTTTGTTGTCTCCAACGACAGCGGCCAGATTGTGTTCTAGCTGGGCTTTTGCCTTTCTCATTTCCTCTCTGCACGACCTAACGAGATCCCTGTACTCTTCTTGAGTCGCCTGCCCCTTCTTCCACAAGCGGTAAACTCTCCTTTTTTTCCTGAGTCCCAGCAAGAGCTCCCTGTTCAGCCAGGCCGGTCGTCTTCCCCGCCCATTCTTCTTACTGCATATGGGGACAGCCTTTAAGACTTCCTTCTTGCTACCTGCTACACTATTTGCAAATATCTGTGCACGTTCCCAATTTTCATAACAACCTCCCATGCAGCTGGGTGCCTGTTACCTTGCATGTCGCTATACCCAGTGCTGACTTCAGCAAAACCAGGTGAGGTGTTCCTACTGGTCTCTGCCTTCCTCCATTCACATACTGTCTGCCTGTCTGCATCCCACAGTTCGCCTCATGAACACACTCAGCACAGCAGACCCTGTGTTCTAACATCAACTGGTGAGAGCCTGGCTGCACCTGCAGCTGGTCTGAGTGTAATCAGGAGCTGCTTACACTGCCCTGTCTCAGGAGTAACCCAGTTTGCAAAATGCAGCATACAGCAGCACTGTACTAGACTGCTCAAATGCCAAGCAGTCCATAGGAATGATCCAGAAACTGAAAACTGCATAAATGAATAGCGATTGTTTGCTGGAAGATGTGATGCAGCACCTTGGTAGGCCATGCCCTAGGCTGTATACGCTCATCTGCGTCGCACACCGAGTAATACCACGGGCACTGAGCTAGCTGCAGATCCATCTTGCTGTTTACTGACTTGTTTCATGTGCAGTTTGGGATCTTGGTACTTAGCCTTGCATTTTCTTGCTTCTCCTTCACTCTCACACCTTTGAACAGTCCTAAAATTGAGTGATGCTGCTGGTGGTAAAATTGTTCCGTGATTAATGTTCAAATACACACAGTGTGTTCGGAATTTTCAAGTGTCTCATTTTCCTGTAGTCACCATCTCTGAAATACAAAAATGTAAATGTCTCTCTTTCACTGTGTCTGTGTCCTTTCTTGCTGCCAGTAAGTGCTGTTGCTACTTGCCAGAGTGTTGTCAACTTGTATGATTTCGATTGTGAGTCTTTCAATATTTAAGGGGGGGGGGGATTTGGAAGTTTTTTGTTTGCTTGACTAGTTGAATCTTTGGGTTTGGCGATAGGATCTCTGACTCTTTGTCGGTGTTTTCATTGCTTTTCCTGTTTTTCTAATTTCTCTGAAAGATAGGCCCATATTTAAACTAGAATATCATTATTCTCCCCTCTTAGGAGTTGCTCTGCAACTTGGTAATTAACTTCAGGAGTGGATCATTTGCATGGAGGCAGAACACATTTCAGCCTTTGCTGAGCCAGTCACTAACCTGGCAAAATACTATTTGCTGTTTGGTCGGTTTAGTTTTTTGTTGAGTTAGCGAGCTGAATTTGGCTCAGCAGGAGTCCAATAAGTAGCAGAGCTGGCAAACGAGGAGGTGCAGGACCCTATGGCCAAAAGCAGGGGAGTGGGAAGCAAGGGCAGCCTTTGGTGACAGCAAGCCATTAATTTGGCTCAGCTGTGTTGTTAAGGCATGCTCTCAGTGAAGCCAAAAAATACTTTGAATGTCATATAAGCATGTCATTCACTAAGACTGTGCCATAAAAGCTTTAATTCTTGGTAGTCGCTTGTTGTGGTTACCCACAAAATATTGAGGTTAATCAAGATAGGATATAGTATTCTTTCTAATTACAGAGTTGGCCTACAAACGCAAGCATCTCTCTGTATGGATTTTTTTTCTGTTTCAGAAGGAAGATGTCATTAATGCGGAAAGGGACGAAAGACTGTCTCTTCGGAAGTATCGCTTCATGCATTTTGCATCAGTGGAATATGAAGGAGAATGTTACATGACACCAAGAGATTTCTTGTTCTCAGTAATGTTTGATCAAGTTGAACGTAAGTTGTTTTCTCATCATTTTATTTGTGAAGGAAAAGGAACTTGCCCTTAAAGATGTAATTTGCAGATTACTGGGATAAGATCATTTATCTGACATAAATCAGCAGAAGCCAGTTTATAAATGTTGTGCATATGGATTCTCACAGGCACCACCACTCTTTACACCAGTGAAGTGAGGCTGATGATTTAGAAATCTGGTGACTTGGTGGTGACATTATGTCTCTGCATAATTTGCATGTCTGATCAGTATGTAGTTACTCAATTACTTACATGCCACAGAAAATAGTAGGACTGTAATATAATAGTGTTCATACCATTGCTGGCCCCGTTATCTGTCTATCCACTTCACCAGTAAGTACTCTGTGACCTTTTTTCTTAGAAGAGGCAGTGATGGGAGTGACTTGAGTGAGTGTAATGAAGCATTGAGCTCAGCTCTAAGTTTCTGGTTTCAAATCTCCTCTGGTTTGTACAAAACCTAGTTAAGAACAAATCAAAATTATATGCACATTTTTAAAAAAGTACTTTTAAAAACATGCTTTCTGAGGAGAAGATAGGACCAGCACACAAATAAAAAATGCATAGGTGGTTGTCCTCCTTTCCTCCTGGTTTTCTGGCCTCATTAGCTCTGCCCTATTCCCTAAGCTTCTTTTATCTCTTTGTATCATCTTCTGTAATTTCCATCTTACAGTAATTTTTTTAAATGATACCTCTTTTTTTCTCAAAAAATTTGGCTTTTACAGCTTTCCCAAGAATTTTTTGCTTTAGAAATGTTAAGTTCTCCAAGCTTCAGAGAGGATTGTCACTCGGAGAACAAATATTCTGTTAGTACATCTGCTGAGGGAAAGAAGGGGAAATCCCAACTTTAATCATTGTTTGCTGCAGTCTGCACATACTGACCAGGGGAGCACGTTGTCTAGCAAAAGCCTAGGATGCTCTGCCCAGCTAGCAGCAAATGTCTGAGTGACTTGGGGGTATTGAACAGGAAGTACAGAAGGGAATTCAAGGTACTGTGGAAAGGCTTGAGGCACAGGGAGGAAGAAGGAGACCTGAACGCACTTTGATTCAAACCTATGGGAAACCAGGGGCAGAACAGAGTTTACTGAGCTGCAAGTGGTCAAAGAATAGGACACAAGAATCTGTAATAAAAGAAGTTTTCTTGTGTCTGCCAAAAATCTATAGGTGATAAGGATACATGGCTTCACTGCTGACGCACAACTTCTAATATTATACAAAGCTGAATATAAATCCTTAGAAGGACTTTACGACCTTGAGAGTCATGGAGACTCTCAAAATAATATGGCTAATGGAAAGAGTTCTTTCCCCTTCAAAACTTAGGTCATTAAGTTAAAAACCTAGAAGGGATTTTCTTTCAAGTTTTCCAGCCTGAAACACTGAAAGACAGTGAATACTGATATTTTCAGTTTTGAAGGTGTGGGTTTCAGACAGTTCTCTGTGAAAGCAAGGTTAGAGAAATAAGTGTTTTTCAGTCTTAGCAGTTCATACATATTAAATGGTTACTCCAACTATAATTGTACATGTGCAGATTTTTAATTAAGTAGTATGTGGGTAAGATTTATTTGTAATGCAGCCAGGTTAATTTCAGTTACTTTGCTACTATGAGTAGGAAACAGCGTTAAACAGAAAAGAAAAAATAATTACAAGAAAAACCACGTGAACAAAACACATCTTTGCACTAAGGCATATTTAGCATATTTCAAATTGAGGTCAGGCTTGCAACAATAGCATCATAGACAATTCATAGAAAAATGTTAATACTTGAATCTAATGCTCCTAAACATTCTTTTAACCATCACTGGTTCTTTGGCCAGTAGCATAAACACAATGGTAAGCAATTCTCTTCAAGTCATATTGCTTGGGATTTTAGGTTTTCTTGTAGCATTTGTTAGTAGAGAAATATGGTGGTTTAAGTATTTTAAAGGCAGTGGTTTGTTCATTGTGTTTAGAAGAGTTTCATACGAAGAAAAAAAATAGACATATCTCAAGTGTCTGTCCAGGTATGTTCAGAGTAGATCAGGATGGTGAACTTAATAGCAAAGCAGCAATTATTTTTGGAAACTTTCTGCTTATATCATAAAATTAATTCCCTTTCACCCTGAACAGTGGTTTTAGAAAGGAAAACAGGCATGCCACCACTAATCCTAGAAAGCCCTTCACTTACTGGCATACTGAGATGCAATTTTAACATGTGATACTGCATACAAATGATGAGTCTTATAATGCTGAACTTAAAGCTGTAATGATTCGGTTATTCTCTACGTATTTTTGATTAATCACTAATTAAAAAAAAACCAAAACAAAACTCTCGGAAAAATTTGAAGCAGCCTGGCAGTAAACATTCATCTTCATAAATATTGGCTTGGAGTTTGCCAGTTGGTTGCTGTATATAATAATATGGAAGGCTTAGGGCTGTTCTAAAGTTTTGTTTCTGCTGTCTTTTTTACAGATATAGGCAGGAACATATGATCAGCTTCACGAGCAATTTAGCTGTGTACACCAAGAAATATTGCTGAGGTTGATCACAACATTCTGTTGCTTTGTTCCTATTCAGAGATAAACACTCCCGAAGGGGAAAAAGGCAAGCAAAAAGAGGGGATGAGAAGCAGTTATGGGCTGGGAATCGGGGTCCTTGTCCAACAGCCTTGGGGTTTTTTGCTCGCTGGTGATTGTCATTGGAGAATTACTTTGAAATCTCCTGTTAGTTTTTAAGCATAATTAAATTCAGAAGAAAGTAAATGTGGTGTTGTGTAAACCAGTTGAGTTGTTGGTGCTAGATCAAAAGTGCTGAAGTTAGAAAATACCAAAATATTTTAGCTATGTCCAGATTGTCAAGTGAATTCCTGTACACAGTTGGGTGGAATTTATTACTGAAGCAAAAATCTTAGGTGTGCCCTTTGACAAGATTGCAAAACATGCAATAAATTATGATTTATTATAAAACACTTTCCCAGATAAGAAAACAGATGAACTGTAGTGCAAATATATCAACTGTCATCCAGCCCAAGTGATCTTGAACCCTGCTTGATAGACCTTAGTTCACTAGTTCTGCTCATTTGTTTCCTGGTCCATGGGTTTCTCTATTACTTGTTTTCTTTAAGGTAGGCCAAAATGTTGATTAAATCACACCTGCAAAGTTATTTACTGTCAGGGTGATAATGAAGAAAAATATTTACAGTCCTGCCATCTAAGGAGAATAAGCTGATAACAAATGCAGAGTTTCCTGACAGACTTATTTTGTTCTGCATATTGACAAAGCAAAGAGCTCTAGAAAGGAAGAAAGGCACTGTCCAAAAAAAATTTGCTTTCTTTTAGACGCAGTGTTTCACACTGGATTACCATTGTAAATATTTGTCTAATTCTATTACTGTTAGTTATTTTATGGAAGGAAGCAGCCACCTTTTTATAAACAGTGGCAAACAGTAAATGAGATGTGGTAGTGTGGCACAGCATTTGTGCCGATACAAAACACCTACAACAGTGTTTTGTACCAGCTAAAGCAGTTCATATTAAATGCATTGTTCAGATTTTTGGATTCATGGCTACATGCCATGTAATCTCGTGTTAAAACAATGTTACCACAGGGATGTGCGGCAAAAAATTGCAAAACCAGCCAAGTTCTTCTGGGTAACCCGTGGGATGTTCATGTAAACTGTCATATCTGATGCAATGATAGTTTAGTGAAAAAGTATTTTCTGTTACTCGTCTTATCATGATGTAAAAACTTCTCAATGTCTAGTAATATCTAATAAGAATAATATGAACTTGCTGTGTTGCATCAGAAATTCTAGCATTTTTAAGATTACAGGTATAAGAAGGATAAAGCTCAGCTGACTTACACTGAAATTTCATTGCAACGCAGGAGTATTTTTACTTCCTTCTTCATGTAAATTCTGTAACCCTTCCAGCTTCATGTAAAACTTGCTTTAAACAGTTGTGCATACTTGGGCTCATATTCCAGATTATACAGCCAATATTGTGTTAAAACTTCTCTGTGGAAATATCATCTCTGGTGTGTTGTTATTGTAGAACATATAAGAAAATCTGTATTAAATTTTTGAAAGGACTACAGATACAAGAATCCTTCAGAAAATGAAAATTTTGCAGTACATTAAATCTGGACTGCGTTTATGTTCATTTTTCCACAGAAGATTATTCTATTCCAGAAATACCTTCCTCTTTCAAGTAGAAGACAAATGTTCAGGTTAGCTTGTCTGATAACGATTGATACCTGGTAAATAAAGATTTTGATCCTTCTGTATATACTCAGTCCAGATTTAATGTATCATAGCATCTTCACATCCCAAACCACTCCTTTATCTGCGGTAAAAAAATTTTCCTGTGTTCTATAGCACCACGGTGCCAGAGGCAATATTTCCACGGTAGAGTCCTATCTGTCGGTGAGTATCAGTGTGTTGTAAGTTTGCTAGGACAAGTTGTTAGAGTTGGTTAAGCTTTCTGTGAAAACATGGTTGGTGCAAGGTTGTGGTATGTTTGCAGGTTTGATATGATGTCTGGCTTCGTGTTGTCACAGCATCAGCACGGTCATGACTGTGCATGAATCTGAGGAAAGGATACAGTGCAAGGCTGCAATGGCTAGAAAATTGAGTTCTCCATTGTCCTTAGTGGACATCAGTACTGGTGCAGTCGGTGGGATTTGGAGAGCTGAGAGGGACCAGCCAGTAGATGGGCACTTCAGAACGAGCTGAGTCAGTCTTTTTGTTTCTGGATCTTGAGTTTTTGCCTCTAGTGGGAGTTCAGATGCCTATACTTCAGTGTCTTAATTTTGACCTGAATTTCATATATGATAACTGATCAGACTGATATGAGTTATGCATGAGTATCAGATCTAAAACCTAGGATTCAGAGTCAAAGACTAAGATTTAAGCTTGTGTAAGTGGTGAAGCTCCATATGGGAAGTGAGGACTGAAATGTTATATGGGGAGCCACTGGCACAGCTGGGAACTGAGTTCAATCCTCCTGA